GAGAGAGAGAGAGAGGGAGAGAGAAGAGAGAGAGATAGAGAGAGCTTGGCTCTTTATTCTTCTTTTCGTCTTCTCTTGTTGATAGTGCGTGGTGGAGCTCTCGGGTCCCCACGTTTGTGCCTTTTCTTGTATATTCTCTTCTCAAATTTTTTCTCTTTAAAACGCAGCTGTATTCACCGGTTGTTGGCTGCTGGTGATTTTTCAGCTGCATCTATGTGTGTCTGTTTGTTGTTTTTATTAGGTTGCTACATTTAGGGCGTATTCCCTATATATGTAAACACACCCCACACATACTGAACACAAAGATATAAGTGGCCCAAAACCTACCAATAAATGCTCCATTGAGATGGGCAGGGTTTAGACAGTTATAGTGTGAATTGTACACCTCAAAAACAAGGTACATGTCATGTTAAATATATTCTAATGCTGATACAGTGAGTTATGCGTCTCTGTATTTGTGTTTATTCTGTGTTGACATCTGTATTTCTATCCCCATCTGTGCGCATGATGTGTTTCAGTACCTTTCTGCATTGGGATAACTATTTGTACGTAGTCATTTATCAACAAATAAAGAAAGAAATACTGCATGTGCATATGAACTATTATTATGTAGAAGGATATACACATGTATTTGCAGCTGCATGTTTTTGTAAAGAACATTCCTTGGCCATTCTTTTGAGAAGCTCACTCCAGTCATGGCTTGCGAATTGCCTACAGGTAGCAGAATTGATCGAAACAGATCTTATACTGATCGGATGTACAGCTATTGAAGACAAACTTCAAGAGGGAGTGCCTTCTTGCATAGAGACTCTTTCTAGAGCTGGTATTAAGATTTGGGTTTTGACTGGCGACAAGATGGAAACGGCAATAAATATCGCCTATGGTAAATTTTGATATTTTTTATACATGCTATTTTTCTAATCTCTTCGTCGCTGATCTGTTCAAATCTTCTGAGAAACTTCTTTAATTTCTTCCTGTTTTCATTGACAGCTTGTAGTTTAATTAACAATAGCATGAAACAATTTGTCATCAGTTCAGAAACTGATGAAATCAGAGAGGTCGAGAGTCGGGTAAGAGATTCATGACTGTCATAGTTGTGATTGCCTATTTGTGAACTATTGGTGATTGTCTATTAGGAACTATTTCACTGAAATTTTAAATTTCCATATGATCTGATTAGGGTGACACAGTTGAGACTGCACGTTTTATGAAAGAATCAGTGAAGAAAGAGCTGAAAAGATGTATCCAGGAAGCAGAACATTCTATGCATACCTTATCTGGAAACAAACTGGCACTTATAATAGATGGGAAGTGCTTAATGTATGCATTAGACCCACAGTTACGAGTGACTCTGCTCAATCTGAGCTTGAATTGCCATGCTGTGGTGTGCTGTCGAGTGTCCCCTTTACAGAAGGCTCAGGTAAGGTTCTTTTAGAGTGACACATTTGGACCTGAATTATGCTGAGAGGTCGTATTCATCCAATTTATTTCTTGTTCTGTTTTCTTTGTTTTGTTTTATATAGAATCTGTTCTGCATGAGAATGTTGAATCAAATATATCAAGCAACCGATTTTAGGGAAATCTATTATTTTTGTGATTCCTTTCAGATGCATCTATGTGTTCTTTAATAAGAGCAATCCGTAAGCTTTATACTGGCATGGAAGTTGATGGTGAAGTTTTTCTTTGTCTCTTGCTATTATGCTATGAATATGATGATGCAGCTTCACCTTGATAAACACAGGTTTCTGGAATTAATAATTACCTCATGGCAGGTTACTAGCCTAGTAAAAAATGGAGCACGGAAAATCACTCTTAGCATCGGTGATGGTGCAAATGATGTGAGCATGATCCAAGCTGCTCATGTAGGCGTTGGCATAAGTGGGCTGGAAGGGATGCAGGCTGTTATGGCGAGTGATTTTGCAATAGCTCAGTTCCGCTTCCTCACAGATTTACTTCTTGTGCATGGGAGATGGTCATATATCAGAATATGCAAAGTTTGTTGCTCATGCTCCTTCTGAAAACTCTGTTTTCCTTCTTTTTGGTCCCTTGTATGATTATTTCATCTTAGCATGTCTTATTGCCTTGCAGGTTGTCACATACTTCTTCTACAAAAACCTTACTTTCACTTTGACTCAATTCTGGTTCACTTTTCAAACGGGGTTCTCTGGTCAGAGATTTTATGATGATTGGTTTCAATCACTCTATAATGTTATATTTACAGCTCTACCCGTGATCATAGTGGGACTATTTGACAAGGTATGCCATTCTATCATTATTTCATAGGCGCATCTTTGTGACATCATATTGATTATGGTAAGAAACAAAATGAAGAGAGGTGATGCTCGATCTGTCTTATGTTAGGATGTGAGTGCCTCTCTCTCAAAAAGGTACCCGCAGCTGTATAAGGAGGGAATAAAGAACATGTTCTTCAAATGGAGGGTTCTTGCAGTTTGGGCTGTCTTTTCTGTGTACCAGTCGTTGATCTTCTTTTACTTCACAACTGCTGCCAGTCGTAACAGCAAGAATGCCTCCGGAAAACTTTTTGGGCTCTGGGATGTGAGCACAATGGCTTTCACTTGTGTAGTTGTGACTGTTAACTTACGTCTCCTCATGACCTGCAATGTCATCACGAGATGGCACCACATAAGTGTCATTGGAAGCATCTTAGCTTGGTTTATCTTTATCTTCTTATATTCAGGAATTATGACTCCTTATGATAGACAGGTAAGTCTTTCTGATCTACCATTAATATGGGTTTCTTTTTAATCATTTGTCTAGGCTGTCTGGGCTTACATTTGATTAAATTTCATTTCAGGAGAACATATATTTTGTGATATATGTGTTGATGAGCACTTTCTTCTTCTATCTCACATTGCTGCTTGTTCCTGTAGTTGCACTGCTCGGTGACGTAATTTATCAAGGGTGAGAACTTTTTAATGCTTTTTGTTGGATGAAAATTTAGATTCAGTTTGATAGAAGAATAAATTACTTTAACCACTACTTTGTAGCTTTTCTAGTTGTTGGCTTTGCAATAAATGCTCTCCGTTCCATTATTGGGTTGATTTGTAGAGGACATCAAAATCCCTCAAAAGTTTAGTCCCAAGAAAGCCCATGATCCTCCCTTGCCAATGAAAACCTGATTATTTCGTGTTCTGAAACTTTTTGAGTATGAAAGGATTCAACTGTACCAGGAACTCTAAAACTTTTATCCTTACCTTACATGCTGATCTCATATGGTACATGTGAAATGAATTGGGGTCATCTGGTTGTGCCAGGCTTCAGAGGTGGTTCGCACCTTATGATTATCAGATCATTCAAGAACTCCATAGACACGAACCAGAGCAGAGAAGCCGGCCTGATCTACTTGAAATTGGGACTGCTATGACAGTGGATGAGGAGAGAACTTTCGCAATTTCTCAGCTTCCTCGTGAAACTTCAAAGCATACTGGCTTTGCTTTTGACTCACCTGGGTATGAATCCTTCTTTGCATCCCTTCATGGAGTAAACGTGCCCCAGAGGGCATGGGATGTTGCACGCAGAGCAAGTATGAGATCACGACAACCCAGGACATCCATAAGATGACTGGCAATGTATATTATTTATTTGCCAGTAGAGTATGTAAAATAGCTTTCTTATGCCATCTCTCTCTCTCTCTCGCACACGCACACACTTTTATGGTTATAATGTGTTGCCCCTGATTTTATGTACTGTACATAAGCCTTTTCAACCGCATAGGCTTGTATAAAATTTCCAAAGGTTGGTTTCATGCCCATACTTTTCCACAGAGATGTATCGAGAACATGGTTGAAGAGGCTTCTGGGGAAATTTTATACGAATTGGATACCTTCAAGCTTGCCTTCTCTTTGCAAGAATTAGTAATCGTTACTGGTGCTCCCGAGCAGTTTGATTGGTGCCGTTTGCAGCGTGTTTTTTTCTCGTTTTATTCTGTTTACTGTGAATTTACTGCAGTGCTCTCAAAAACCGGTTTTGCAAAAATTGCACAGGAATGGTTATCCAGATGTGGGGAAAAACATAGATTTAAGGTATATTATTTTATTAACTACATTTATCTTAAGAAAACCTTTTTTGTAGATAACCAAGGAGGATCAATAACCACTTTTCTCAAGCTTGCTATCAAATCCAAAACTTAAAATTTGAGAGGGTTTCAGATCTTTTAGCTCGAAAATATAATGATCAGTTACGAAAGCGATAGGACAATGATTTATTCTACAAGTAGCATCCTTTGATGCCTCAGTCAGGATTGGATGCTGGTATTGTTATGTATTTCCATATAAGGATTAGATGTTGCTATTGTTTTGCATTTCCATATAAGAACATTAGAACAAATAATTTTATCAAAAAATAATTTTATTAAGGAAATTAGAAAAACAATTTCTATATTCTTCAAAAAAACGCACTTTTATTAAAAAATTAATTTTATCTACAAAAATAATTGTATTAGGCAAAATGGAAAAACACTTCCTATATTCATCATAAAACAAAATCTTATTAAAAAAACATTAATTTTATCAAAAAAATAATTTTATTAAGCAAAATGGAAAAACACTTTTCATATTCGTCAAAAACTATAATTTTTTTATTAAAAAACATAATTTTTTTTATAAAAAAATGTAATTTTATTAAAAAATGATTTTATTAAGCAAAATCGACAACACTTCCATATTGATAAAAAAACATAATTTTATTCAGCAAAATAATTTTTTGGAGAAAATCAATTTATCAAAAACCCTTCAAATTGAGCAACATTTTGAGCTAGAAATGGCCTTCAATGTTCAAATAATTGAAAAAGTTTACTCATTTATAAATAAACATACCTATTTTATTTGAGATGTGAAGCCTCAATGATTAAAATCCACAACTCAATTTGATAAAAGCTGGATAAAAAATCTGCGTTTTTTTGTCGAATACGGCTTTTTAGAATAGTAGCTTTTCTAGCAAAAATCAACACATGATCTTTGGTTTTTTGAATAAATTGAAACATGCATCTAGTAAATACTTTGAATAGCAATCAAACCCCTCAAATTTCTTCAAGAATTACTAGGTATTGAAGATTATTGAAAGAATGGTGGAAATTTTTAGAAATCTAAAAAATCCGCGGCTTCAATCAGAGAAACTCCTTTTTTTTTAATGTTAAAATCGAAGTTCCTTGTTTTATATTCATTTTATAGTGATTTACAACATTAAAACAGGAAAGAAAGCCAAAACAAATGGCCGGAAAATAAATAAGAAAAGGTGAAAAGTTGGATTCATGGTTTTCTTGCTACATAGCCCCTATTTCAAAACAACGATGTTATTTATATATTACCGTTATTTCCTAAAATGACGTTATATCGGCGAACCAGGCTGGTTAGTTGAAAACCGGCCAGTTCGACAAAAACACGGCCGGCTCAACCCAAAACCAGTTGGTTTTGGGGCGAAAATGTTGTCGTGTTATCACCTAAGCTACTAGACACACAAAACGTGTCCTAACCGGACTCAAAACCCTAACAGTTCCGATCCAACCGGCCGATTCCGTTTGCAACCGACCAGTTTTCCTAAACCTGCTCAAAACTGACGAGCGCCGAGCACGGAAATGCGTGGTCCGGTCTTTTATTGCTCTACTTGTGGTTGAACTTGTCACGCCAGGTTTTATATCTAAAGTTAGATAAAATATCACATAATTAAATAAAAAATGAGAAAACCGAACAAATTATCATTAGAATATCCAAATTGATGAGCTATTTAGTGTAATTTGTGGGAACAAAACGGGCATTTGAACATGTTAAAACTTTAAACCGCCAATCCCTTGGGAATCATCCTTATATTTGTTTATGAAGAGGAGGCAGCATGGACAAAGATTTCCTGGCATAAAATTGCCAATTAATGTAAAATGGGCCAAAATGAGTTAATACATGAAAGGAACTAAATTTTCTTCCAAAACAGCCAAAACAACAAAATAGAGAGGATTTCTTTAGTAGGAAAAATAATGAAAAATTTGAAGAGTGCGTATCCTATGCTGCTGTGAGCATATTGTACATTGATGTTCCCTGTCGTGAGCATGTTGTGCATTTAGAGGTGAAGGAGCTATTTGGGAGAAAATTCTTTTATTTGAAATTTTGGGATTCACCTGTGAATATTTTCAAAAAAAAAACCAAAGACATTGAGTGAAAAATGGGTGTCAAAAACAAGAGATTTTTATATAAACTTTAAGGCGTCAACCTTACATTATAAAAGTAAGTGCATCGGCAAAATCAAGTGGACTGATGCTCCGATTGATCTTCTCAACCTCGAGACCTGTGAAACGAAAGAAATTGTAATTCAAGTCTTTAAAATTATGTATTTTGTGGCACATTATTTGGATCATCCATTTTTAAGATTTTTAAGTGCTTATATATTAGCTCGATTTGTACCATTTTGTGGCTTTGAGGGCACGTTTGGTGCACGTGAAAATACTTGTCGGGAAGTATTTTGACATGAAAAAAACTCCGTCACGTGATTAGATGTGAGCTTTTTCACACCAATTGGTCCTAGTGCATTTTTTTATGACCATGATATTCAAGTCGAGATGATCAATGTAAAAGTTTTTCATTGCTAAAATTAAAATTTCCAATGAGTTGTGAGCTGATGCTTTACTTATTTTGATAGAAAAACAGCTATATCAAACCATTTTCCTTGATAAAACGTTTCAAAATTCACCAGAAAATTCAAATCGAAGCAATTTGATATCCGACTCGGGCCTATATGACATGACCTCACTTCTTTTTTTATCGTTCTCTCCGCGTATTTTTATTTATGTTCTATTAGCCCTAATTTCTTTGTGGCAAAACTCTCTCATCTGGTTTTTGTATCTCTGTAAAAGCAGTCTATTGATAAGTTTCTTTTGCTTTCCTCTTTAATAGCTTTCCTTTTAAAATGATCAACACCTCTTGACTACCCTTCCCTTGCCTTTCCTTTCCTTTCCTTTGTTTAATTCGTTCAATTCTCTTTGAATAGTCAAACTTAACTTTTGTTGCGACCTTTTTTCATGAACCTCTTTGCAAAAGTGAAGGTGCACCTATCCGTACATATGACGGCCTAAGTGCAAGTATAAGCACATGTTTCTGTTATCGCGCCTCAATCCAAGTGTGCCTGCCTCTCTGACATCGAATCCCAAATAAACCATTCTTGTCCTTCTCCTCTCTTAATGAAATGATGGACAGCCGCATCTGAAACCCGCCTCGCCCTCTGAATCCGCCTCGCCCTCTCCTCTCCTCTCCTCTCCTCTTTGTGAAGAGAGAACAGTCATTCTCGTAACTCTTTTTGCAGCTTGTGAAAAGAGAAAATTCATTCTCATTACCCTTTTCCAGCTTGTGAAGAGAGATCATTCATTCTCATTACCCTTTCCCGGCTTGTGAATAGAGGAGAGAGAGAACACGGACCGAGTGGAAAGCGTGTCCGTAGAGAGAGAAAGAGAGGGGAAGGCCCACCATCGAGAAAGAGAAAGAGGGAGAGACCCGCCACCGCTGCCGAGACCGAAGAAAGGCGGTGTCAACTCTAATCCTCCCTTCCTGCCAATTTCCGCCCCGCATCATTTCCAGTCATCAACTTCCCTCTCTCTCTCTCTCTCTCTCTCTCTCTGTAACTCCTGAAGAATATCGTGCTCGGCCTCTCTCTCTCTCTGTAACTCCTGAAGGATATCGTGCTCGGCCTCTCTGAAAGGTACACCTCTCTTTGCCTTTCTTTTGATTGATTTTTATGGTTTTAAATTTTTTGTTAGCACATCCACTCTCCACTTATGGATGAATATCCTGCCCCAGGTACCCTTATGTTGATTTTTTTGTGAATTTTATTATATTCCTCTCTCTCTCTTCGATCACGGATTTTATATGACGATGACTCCTCTCTTTTCTTCTCTGCCACACACTCACCGTATGGAGGTCCATGGAATCGTTTTATGACAGTGCCCCCGTTGACTTGTCACTTCAATTGTGGCCTCCTTTTAGAGAGAGAGAGAGAGAGAGAGAGAGAGAGAGGTGTGTGTTGGTGTGTAGGTGGGTAGGCGTGTTAGTAGTAGGAGGACGGGTACCCGTACCCGTACCGTAACCGTACCCGGTAACGTTAATTTGTTT